CACCGCCGCGAGCCCAAGGCACCACTTCCGGGTCCGAAGCCCCCATGGCGCCGGGCGGCGGGGTCACTCCCCGTCACGTGCCCGTGGCCACGCCCCCATGGGCGCCGGGGGCGTGGTCGGACTGTACCATTCACCGTCGCGGGGGAGCCCTGGAGCGCGGCGCGGAGGCTCGTACGCCCGAAGTGGCTTGTGGGCGAAGACGGAGCCTGGCGGGATGCGGGACCCGGGACAGGACCAGTCAGTAGTCGTGGACGGCCGGGGTCGCGGGATCCCGAGCGTGGGGGCCGTCACCGGCCCGCGGGCTCCCCCTCGCGGGAGTCCGAGAGCGCGGCGGGGGCGGAGCTCGGCCGCCCGGGCAGCCCGACGCTCCCCGTAGGGTCCGGGGCGCTCTTGGGCCCCTCGGCGCTTCGGCTTTCTCCGCAGCCCTGGGACCGCCCCTTTGCGGCCCAGATCCGGGTCACCCCGGCCTTCGCGGGATCCTGGGCCTGCAAAGCCCGGGCCTCCCTTCCAAGTTCCTGCCTCGAGCTCCCTCCGTGCCGGACAGCGCCCCTGAAGCCCGCGCTCCCCGGGGGAGCCCTGGCACCCAAGCCCTGCACTTGAGGTGAAGTCGTGTATCTGCCTCTAGAACGGGAAGCCTTCCATCATCCTTCCACGGAAGAACTGCAGGCCCTGCCAGAGGCCCTCGTTAACGCCAGAAAGAAAGATCTCGTCCTTATTGTTGGAGAGAAGCCTCACAAGAACCCTGGAAATGCTTGTTCCGGCTGGTGTCCTGCGCCTGTTTGCGGGCGCCTCATCCTGTGCTCCGCACCCCTCCAACACGGGCAATAGCTGCCGGGCTAGACGCAGGCACACAATAAGCACTGCTGTTACGTGGACGCTGGGGTCTGCAAAGACAGCACTGGGGGATCCAGCGCCATGAGACTCCCATCTTCCTTACCCCAGGGTAAAAGCTACTCTCTCCTAGTCACACCTGACCAACAGACGCGATACATTTCCATGTTTAAAACGTGCCAGTCTCAAGCCAGGTGCTGGTGGCTCATACCTGTTATTCTGACTCCTCAGGAGCCTGTTACCTGAGGATTGCAATTCAAAGCAATCTGGGGCAAAAAAAAAAAAAAAAAAAAATCCATGAGACTCATACCTCCAATTAACCATCAAAAAGCTAAAAATGGAGGTATAGCTCAAGTGGTAGAGTGCTAACCTTGAAGAAAAAAAAGCCCAGGGGCAATGTCCAGGCCCAAGTTCAAGCCCCAGTACCAGCACATACACACAAAAAATTATACCTGTGTAGCTCAAGCAATAGAGCACCTGTCTACAAAGCAGGAAACCCTGACTTCAAAGCCTAGTACCAGCAAAATAATAATAATGTAATTTATATACTTATGTATCATCACTTAAATTAAAATGTTAGGAATTCCCCACAGGCTTGAAGCAGTTTAAAAACAAAAAACAAAGAGCAGAATATTAGCAGGAAAATTGGCAAGGCCTTGGGAACTGCACGTCTGTTTAGAGCAAGGGAGCACCGTGGGTCCCTGGGATCCTGTTGGGGAGCAATGTTGCAGGGAGAAAAGAAGAGAAATAATAAGTGGTCACCATTGTAACTAAGTTGCCATTGGACTAAGAGATCAGAAGGGAATCTGTGAGGTCTCACACATAGATCTGGGAAAATCTTTTTCTCTGCTGCTTGCTGCCCACCTGCTTGCCTGGGGTGGGAAGGACTGGGTTTCAGAGGTTTTGGGGGAGCAGCTATTAGGTAGTATATGAACTGACACCCCCCCTCCCCACCCTACAGAGATGCTGGGGAACTGGACCCACTGTGAGAAGACGCAGCCTTGATGACCTTAGCTGTGTAACTGGGTTGAGCAAGCCATGGGCAGCACGGTACATAACACTGAAAATGGTTGTTTTATGAACTTCTCGTGGTGGGGAAAGGAAACAGAGTGAAACATCTAGCAGCAGAGAACCAGTGTCCTCTATGGAACATCAGGCCTGGCAGTCAATCCGGACAAAAAGCTGTAGCAGGTACAGTCCTAGCTACTCAGAAGGCTGAGATCTGAGGATGATGGCTGGGAGACAGTCTAGACAGACAAATCCAGGAAACCATGATATCTACTTAACAGGCAAAAAGCCAGAAGTGGAGACATGGCTCAAATGGTAGAGCACCAGTTGTAATCAACAGCTCAAGGCCCTGAGTTCAAGCCCCAGGATCAACACACACAGAAAAACAAACACTTAAAGCTCTACCCTTTATCTAGTGAGTTAACTGGGAACCTCTAGGATGAAGCCTAGAGACAGAATGTTCTAGAGAAGGCCTGCAGGTGATCGCTAGGGAACCCTGGCCCAGCAGGAGAGGTAGGGCTCAGAGGAAGACAGCTAGAGACTGGCCTGAATTTTACTGCTTTCAAAGGGAGACCAGCAGTCCTGGGGCTTGAACCCAGGACCTTGTGCTTATATAGACAAGTGCTGTGCCATTCGAGCTATACTTCTAGTCCCTTTATTTATATTTTATTTCTCAGAGAGGGTCTCGCTAACTTCCCCTAGGCTGGCCTGAAACTCAAGACTTCCTGCCTTTGTTTCCTGAGTGCTGAGATTATAGGCGTGAGCTACCATCTCCAGCTAACAGCCAGTTTGAAATTTGTCTTCCTTCCCTCAGGCCAAGCAGCAACTCAAACCTTCTTGGTACTAGGTGACTGGAAGCTACGCCTTGTCCAGGAGACTCAGGTCTGGGATCCCAGCAGGGGCTGGAAGCAGAACAAGTCTCAGCTTCCAATAAAGCTGAATTTTTGGAACTTGGGGGTGGCGAGGGGGAGCTCAGGTGGGATGGGAAGCAAAAACCTCCACGTCTTTCATAAGTGTGTCCCAAGCACCTTTGGGCATCAGTGCTGGGGACATAGCAGTAAGCAAGCAGAAGCACAGCCCTCACGGGGTTCTGTTTCAGTGCTGGGAGCCCTGCGTGTGGGTGCTGCTGTGGCCACTGGGAGGCCTGGGACATAAAGAAAGCCTTTGGTGACAAGATGAGGTTTCATCGGTGATGATCAGGGTAAGCCGCGCAGATATTTGGAGGAGGAAAGTTCTGACTTGGAGTAATAAGTGCAAAGGCCCTGAAATAGGAGTTGGGTGGGGAAGAGGGCAAAGAGGAAGAGAGCGGTGAGAACGTAGGCAAGCGAGGTCAAGAGCTTGGGCCCTGTAGGCCAGTGGCGATGGCATGGCCTTGATGAATCTGGAGCTGAGACTCTTGAAAGGGAAACTGAGGCAAGATAGAGGATAGACAGGCAGCTCTGGTCCCCAGGTGTCCTACAGGGGACTGTGAGTCTGGCAGGGGAGCACCAACTACTGTTTGCAAGCCCTGAGGGAGGGTCCACCTGGCTGGGGAGAAGAAAGAGGCTGGCTGAGACCTTGAAGATGAAGGACAAGGTTGGAGCAGGAAGTGGGGGGAAGAGAACCCCACCCCTTCCTCACCCACTTCCTGTCCTCTTCAGCCAGGTCACCTGGCAGGATCTCTGGCCCTGTTTATGAAACAGCTGTCCCTGAAGACCAGGAAGGGGGACCATGGGAACAAAAAGGGGGCCTTAGCCCAGTGCCAGTCGTTGGCACCTGTGATCCTAGCCACTCAAGAGGCTGAGATCTAAAGGATGATGGTTTGAGGCCAGCCTGGGCAGAGAAGTCCATGAGAGTCCCATGTCCAAATAAACCAGCAAGAAAGCAGGGTTGGAGGCATGATTCAAGTGGTAGAGTGAGGGCCAGGAATAAAAAAGTAGAAAAAGAGGGCTGGGAAGGTGGCTCAGTGGTAGAGTGCTTGCCTTGCATGCATGAGGCCCTGGGTTCGATTCCTCAGCACCACATAAGCAAAAAGAAAAAAGCCGGAAGTGGCGCTGTGGCTCAAGCAGTAGAGCGGTAACCTTGAGCTGAAGAGCTGAGAGACAGCACCTAGGCCCAGAGTTCAGGCCCCACGATCGGACCCCCCCCAAAAAAAAAGAAAATAGAAAATGAAAGGCCCTGAGTTTAAATCCCAATAACACCTTCCCCATAAAAAGGGGACGCTTATGGTGTACCGCACTGGCCTAACTGTGGAGACAGAGCCATTGTGTGGGAAGACAGGGGGCAGCTCAGGCAACAGGAACAGTTTGTTCCTTTCATCCACTTAAAAGCCTGGTGCTTCTCTTTGAGCTGCTCAAGTTTCTCCTGGAGCTGTGGTGTGAGCATTGGGAAATGAGAGGATCCTGGCCCAGCCTGGAAGCTGAACACTGGCTCTGGAGCCTTCCCATGCACAGCCTGTCACCTCCCTGGCCTTTGGCATGGCCTCCTGGTCTCTTTTCTTGTGCCTCCTGCCCAGGTCCTGCCCTAGCCCTGCTTCCCCTCTTCTCCCCCCCTCTCCCCCCCCCGCACCCCCTCCCCCCCGCCCCCCCCCCCGCACCCCCTCCCCCCGTGGCCTTGCCTGTCTCAGGCCCAGAGGGGGCAGTGCTCATGGGGCTGTGCATTGTGCCAGTCCTGGCCCTGGGGCTGTTTCTTCCCCAGTGCCCTTCCCAATCGCTGCCTCTGGTGACCTTGAGCCTTTCCTGACCCAGGGGAGGGCTGCTGGGCCTGGCACAGCCTGGTCCAGTCCCTACAAGTGCCAGCTGGGGAACCAGAGAGTTCACAGGCTGAAGAGAAAAGCTGTTTGTCACTGGTATCATCTAGCCGCCCACGTCAGGCCAGCCACACGCATGCCTTCTGGCTTTGTGCCATCTTTGTGGCCTCAGAGCAAGCACACCTGGGCAGCAGAATGGCTGCCCTGAGTGGGACGGGTACCCTGGATTCCTCACAGCGCTAAGCGGCTCTGCATAAAGACGTTCCTTGACTGATAAGAAAATATAGGACAGTGCAGGCCACAAAGAACCAGGTTTAGCCAGTGCCAGTGGCTCACACCTGTAACCCTAGCTACTCAGAGGCTGAGATCTGAGGATTGCGGTTCAAAGCCAACCTGGGCAGGAAAGTCTGTGAGACTCTTATCTCCAGTTAACCACCAGAAAACCAGACGTGGCACTGTGGCTCAAGTGGTAGAGCGCTCCCCTTGAGCTGTAGAGCTGAAGGATAGCACCCTGGCCCAGAGTTCAAGCCCCATGATGGACAAAAACAAAACAAAGAAACCAGAAAGGATTGAGCTGAAGGCATGGCTCAGGTAGGAGAGCACTAGCTGTGAACAGTAAATCACAGCAGGAGTGCAAGGCCCTAAGTTCAAGCCTGGGTATCAGCACAGGTTACTTAACCTCTCTGATCCTGTTTCCTCTTGTGGTACATGGGTATGAAACAAGAAGGAACTCCTAGATGCAGGACAGAGTATATACTTTGGCTGTTACTGCTTCCACTTCCTGGAGGAAGTGGCTCTCTGTAGGGGTGTGGGGAAAAGGCATCACCCGCTAAGATAAGGACACTCAATGAGGTGGTGGTCACAGTGCCTCCCCCTGCTGGCCAATCACAGGTCAAAGATTGATTGGTTGATTTCTCAATGGTGGGGTGGAACTCAGGGCCTGGGCACTGTCCCTCAGCTCTTCAGCTGAAGGCTAGCGCTCTACCACTTGAGACACAGCGCCACTTCCAGCATTTTTCTTTTTTGCTTATGTGGTGCTGAGGAATCGAACCCAGGGCCTCATGCAAGCGAGGCAAGCATTCTACCACTGAGCCAGCTTCCCAGCCCTACTCTACCACTTTAAACCACAGCTCCACTTGCATTTTTCTGGTGGTTAACTAGAGATAAGAGTCTCATAGATGTTCCTGCCTTGGCTGGCTTTGAACCACGATCCTCAAATCTCAGCCTCCTAAGTAGCTAAGATTGCAAGTGTGAGCCACCAGCACTTACATGATCTATTTTTAATAAAAATAAAAAAAAGTTATTTCCTTACAGCAGTGAGCAGGGCCACACCCAGAAAAGAAGATGCCAGAAAAAGGACCGACCTCAAAAGCTCCCTGGGCCCTGAGAGGATCTCTAGCTTTCTTCTAGTCAAGGTTCCAACTCCAGAACCTTCTGGCCCTGGCAGGTCCTTCTGAAACTGGGGGTCTCCAGGAACCTAGGGTCAGCCGCAGGCAGGCAGGCGTGGCCACGTGGGCTCCACCCACCACGGGGGGAAGGCGGGGGGAGAAACTGGCCTTTCCCTCACTGGCCCCTGGAACTGCTTCCTCTTTCTTCTCTCTCTGCAGCAAAGAGTGGGCTGCAGAGCCTAGGTGGCTGGCTGCTGGCTGCAGGGTAGCTGAGAGCCATGCGGCAGGCCTGCAGGATGGAGCCCACGGGGGAGGAGCACTCGCCCTCTGTGGGCAACCTGGTGGCTGCGTTTGAGAACAGCAGGAGGTATGGGGCATCTGTGCGGGAATGGTCACCCAGCCCCTCTGCCGCTTGTTCCCCTAGGCTGAGACCCCAGAACACCTAAGGTTGCACCTGGAGCACTGCTTTCTCTGGATCCTGAACTGGGTACTGTAAGGTTCAGCCGAAAGGAGATGGCCACAAGGTTCAGGCTGAAAAGACTTTATTGGGGGGGGGCAAAACAAGGGTGGAATTAATGGTGGAGACTGATCTGGGGGGGTAGGTGTGGCTGCGGTGAAGATCTCGGAGCCTGGAGGATCTGCGACTGCCTCCTGAGCACCAGTTACCTGGGTTATGGACGCTGGGTGGAGGCTTCTAGGGAAGGAGCCATGTGTCCACTGAGGAAGAATGGCTGGGAAGGGGCCATTTTCCCCCAGTGGACCTAATGGGTACCTTCTCCTGCTGGGCAGTTCCCATGTCCCTGCTCCGTGGGTTCTATGGAGCACAGGGTGTTAAGGTGCAGACTTGGGCAGGGTGAGAGAGGAGGGGTGCTGGTGGGGACAGCTGGGCAGGGGTGAAGTGAAAAACCGAGTGCAGTGCAGGAATTCCCCTACACGGAGTCGAGATGTCACCCAGTAAGCATCTAAACCTTAAGTAGGAGAAATGTGTTATTTTATCCCTCAAACGGGGACAGGGTGAGATCCTAAAGCAGATGCCATGAAAATACAATGGCAGTGGGGTGCCAGTGGCTCACGCCTGTAATCCTAGCTACTCAGGAGGCTGAGATCTGAGGATTGCAGCTCAGAAGAGCTGGGGCAGGAAAGGGAGACCCTTATCTCCAATAAACCACCAGAAAACTGGAAATGACACTGTGGCTCAAAGTGATAGAGTGCTAAGCCTTGAGCAAAAGAGCTCAGGGACAGTGCCCAGGCCCTGAGTTCAAGCCCCATGACCTAAATAAATAACTAAATGAAAATAAAATGGGGATGCATGGGTAAAGCTGGGTCTCTGTTGGGCAAAGCAGGATTGTAGTCACCGATGGAGGGGCCAAGGCCTGGGTTCTCTTCCTTTCCTCCCTCTCTCCCTTCCTTCCTTCCATGTGGTATTGAGGTTTGAACTCAGGATCTTGTGCTTTGCTAGGCTGGTGTTCTGCTAGTTTTAGTTCTCTCCAGGTGCTCAGGTTAGCCCTTTTTTTAGCCTATTTTTTTTTTTCAGGAAGGATCTCAAGTTTTTTCAGGCTGGCTTGGATCATGAACTTCCTGCCTAGGCTTCCCACATAGCTAGGATGACAGGTTTGCACCATCAAGCCCAACTTGTTTAGTTTGAGATGAGGGCATCACTGACTTTTTGTTTGGGCTGACTTCAAACCATGATTCTCCCGTAGCTGCCTCCCAAGCGGTAGGATTTCAGGTGTGATCCACTGCACCTGGCTTCTACTCCTTTCCTATAGAGGATGGAAGGGGGTGGGGCTTCCAAAGAAGGGAAAAGGCTGGACCAGGTGTATGGTGGATGTTAATGGCTGTTATGGTGGGGTGGGAGGAGGCTCTGAAAATCACCTTTGAAGTGGACCTGCGCCCTGGGTGGTTTATGGGGAACACCTGTGGGAGAGGGACGCCGGATGGGACAGAGGAACTGAGCCTCTTTGTGTCCTGGGGGTGCTGGGCTGGGTTCAGCTTAACTATTTCCGGTGGCGCCCAGGGCTGGTTTTTGCACCCCAGGGACCCATCATTAAATTTAGGTAAGGCAGCTCTCCCAGAGGGGGACTCTGCCAGTAGCCTGACAGCACCTTAGACCTCCCAGTTCTGGGGAAGGACGGACACAGTACCTGGGCCTGAGCGCAGCCCAGCTCCTTCCGGTATACAAGCTGCAGACCACCACCCCTCTTCCGGCTTTGTGCCGGTTCATTGGACATGAGTCTCATGGACTTTCCTGTCCCGGCTGGCTTCTAACCACCATCTTTAGATCTCAGCCTCCTGAGTAGCTAGGATGACAGGCATGAGCATATGTGCTAAGCCAGTAGGGTAACTGAAGGTGGTTACCCTGCCTCTCCCAGGGCCTTGGCCAACCTCATGCCATTCAGCACCACGGACAGCTCCTTCAGCCCCCCCCCCCCCCCACCTGGTGGGTGAGGGGCCTTCCTAGTTACTGAGCACACCCAGCATGGAGTAGGGCTGGGGCTCTGGGAGGCTTGGGCACCTTAGCTGATGCGAAACTGAGGCTGGAAACAGAAGCTGGGAGAGAAATTGCAGAAGCTGAAGCCAAATGTAGAACAGAAAGTGGAGACTCAGCTCCTCCGGGGGCTGCAGGTGCATGGGCTGAGGAACCATGTTTGGGTACCGGGCATGGGGACAGTCCTAGGATAGAAGCCCTGAGTGGGCCTCAGTGCTGCGTGCATCACAGACCAGCTGTGTGGCTTGGAGCAGTGGCTTTACCTCTATCTTTAGAATGAGGAGTTCCCTGTGTTGACTGCATTGTATCTTTTTTTTTTTTCTTCCGGTGCGAGGGTTTGAAGTCAGGGTCTCATGCTTGACTGGCTTGCTTGCCAGCTGGTGTTTTACCACTTGAGTCACATGTCCAGCCCTCTTTTTTAATCATAGTTTTAAAAAGCTGGGTCCTAGCTGGACGCCGGTGGCTCACACCTGTTACCCTAGCTAGAGATCGAATCCTAGCTGAGATCAGAGGATTATGGTTTGAAATCAGTCCAGGCAGAGAAGTCTGTAAGGCTCTTGTCTCTAATAAACTAGTCAGAAAAAAAGCTGGAAGTCGTGCTGTGGCTCAAGTGGTACTGTGCTAACCTTGAGCACAAAGAGGCTCAAGGACAGTGCCCAGGCCTGGAGTTCAAGCCCCAGGACTGGCAGAAAAAAATATAGTCCCATGGTTTGAATGTAGTGTGCACATTCTTGCTTGGTTTGCTTGCTCAGTGGGTGCTCTACCAGTTGAATCATACCTCTAGTCCAGCTTTTTGCTGGTTATTTTGGAAATGGAATCTGGCAGTCTTTACTACCCAGTCTGGCTTTGACTCCTGATTCTCTAGATTTCAGCCTCTTGGATATCTAGTTATGAGTCACTGATGCCAGCATAGCTTTCATTTTAAGGGTGTGTGTGTGTGTGTGTGTCTGTGTCTGTGTGTGTGTGTGTGTGTGTGTCTGTGTGTGTGTTGGTGCTGGGGCTTGGATTCAGGCCCTGGGTGATGTCACTGAGCTTTTTCCCTCAGGCTGGCCCTTTATCACTAGAGCTACGGCTCCACTTACGGCTTTTTGATAGTCAATTGAGATAAAAGTCTCCAGGACTAGCCGGGCGCTGGTGGCTCACGC